GCCACTGTATATCCCAACAACTCAATTACATTTATTTAAATAGACTGGTCAGCTTCACGTCTTCATTCATCTTGTGCTTTAATTCCCTCGTTCCATTTAGTGTTGCGTAAAGACAAGTCCCTGCGGGGACGGATGCATCTGGACTGAAGAAAAATTCAAAATGAAATATAAACTATGCAGCGTTTTTACAAATGGAGATAATATAAACAACAGTGACAGGTTCAGGTCAAATGTGTGAATGAAATGAATGGTGAACATGGGCCAGTAAAGAAGAAGTAATCACATGGTTTCTATCAGTAAAACCAGCAATAAATAGAAATGGGGATATTGCAGAGAGTTTGGCTTGAGACACAGAATGTGACAAAGGGTCCTGAAGATGAGAGGAGGCAACAGCTGCTGTTACATCTTATATCTGCAAAGATATGACCCCAGGTTAGTCCAGAAAAGGTCCGAGTAATAAGTAGAGCTGGCCAATATGGATTTTTGGGGGCGGATGCTGATTGTTATATTTTTTAGGAGTAAAACGTTGCTCAGCCAATATATGAGCTGTAGATATATCTCATTATTCCATGACATTTTGTGGAGGGATGGGACACGACTAAAGGAAGAACACGTTCATTTTGCTGTGGATCTATAAAAGGAATTTTTGTTTCCACTTCCTCTATTTTATTTATTTATTTTTACACATTTTCACTGATTTATGGATCTTGACCCAACCCCTAAATCTGGTTTGTTTAGGGGAATGATATTTATGAGTTTGTGCAGTTTGATGCAAATCCAGATATAATGAAATCATATGTGGTTTCATAAAGGGAATGTTGTGGAGGTATGTGACATTCTTTGGATATGAAACTTTATATATATCGGTATATGAAAATTCGGTCACATCATGATCTCAATCAGTAATATGACGTTAGCCCCGTTGCTATGAAAACGTAGATGTTTTCTGAGCACTGTAAAGACATTCTCAACTTATTTTGCTCACACATTTCATTATCATACTTTTAATTTGAACATGGGTGATGATGTCGGATGAATAACTGGATACAGGTGTTCTCCTCTTTCAGTTTTTCAGTTTTACTCTTTCTTGGACGAATAGATTCCAACTTAAAATTTTGTGACACAGCATTTTACTAAAATTTGCGTCCAGCGCCTCAGTAACCTGGCCTAATATTAACAATTACTGCCTCTACTGCAATTCATCAAACAATTACTGCATCACTCTAAAGGGTTTTTCCTCAGAGTTATCAAATTATCCTCTACTTCTGCATTTTGACACCTGAGAAAAAATCTGACGTGGGCCGAGATTCACAGGTCTTGAACCAGCCTAGTTTTAAAAGTGTTAACATGTATTTCCACTCTCCCGGGCAGGAAGAGGCACTGCTACAGTCGTGGTATTTTTACTATTTGTTCAGGCTTCATTCCACCACTTGCGTTGCCAAAAACTCAAAAATCTTCAGCTCCAGTTTGTTCTTGTTGGAAACATAACACACTGGAGCTGCTGTGCCATAAACTCTTTGTGCTGTAAAACAACCCGACACACTGATCTCAGTAATACACAGCATAGTGTAACCATAGACTGAACATAAAGATGGACGACATGACAGGTCCCCAAAAGCGAAGCAGTACACATCATAAACCCTGCCTCCTCCATGTTAGTGGATGGGACATGGAAAAAGGTTGTTCTTATCACAATGACGTTTGTTCATTGTTTCATTGCCATTCATTAGTTATTTGATCATGATCACGTCCCTACTGCACAGACATTGGTTTCAAATTATGTCATAAGTGCAAGATGGCGGCGCCCGTACCTCGGATATTTTAACTCTGTACATCTCATCTCTGTACAGCCGTAGGAAGCGGAGACACGTCGTCCATCTTTATTTAATGCCATGCCCTAACCCACATTAGTGAGTGTAATGAACTGAATAAGGGTGTGTTGTGTTGCTTATGAATTTAACTCTTCATTCCTAAAATAAAGCTCACGGCTGCAACTATGATTATTTTCATTTTGATTAAATGAAAATTCTTTTCCCAATTCACTGATTATTATTTTGAGAACAAAAACCTAGAGCCTAAAAGCTAATGTGTTCGGTTTCCTCTTGTTGACAACAAAGAAAATCTGCAAATCTATACATTAGAGAAGCTGGAACAAGTGAACTATAGAATGATGATTCTAATTATCTTTTTTTTTTTAATCAATGGTTTCATTTCGGAGGATCCTCTCTCAAAAAGCTGCAGGATCTCTTCTTAAATATCACCACCCACTCGCATATATATAAACTTTGGTTTTTTGGCTGTTCCCGTGTGCTCAGCTCTGAAATCACAGGACGGCAACATTATTAGATGAAGCGTCCTGTTATGACAGAGAGCAGATAAGAGTATGAGACATGTTGGACAAACATTCTGATTAAAACACAGTAAAAAAAACACCTGCCGCCTCCACCGCACTGCAGGTAAAGCTCTGCTCTCGACCTCGGTGCTCTGGGATTTTCAATCTCATAAGAATTGAAGAGATACATTGCAAAAGGTTGAGCAACACCGCTGTGGGCCATCTGTATCCTGAAATACATAACACCTGTGTATACCTCTGACCTGTACATTCTGCCCCATCCTGCCAATAAAACAAACAGAGCACTTCACCGCCTTGGATACAAGAGGTGATGATGATATAAGCTTCGCAATAGGAAATAATCTGCAGGAACTTTAGCCAGGAGGAAAAGGGAGGTTTCAGTGGCAAATTCTTGATTTCATGGCGACGTTAATTGGCCAGAAAAACGACTCTTGAAAACATCGCCTCCCACGTATAATTAAATATCCTCGACAGAGCCGCAGCCTCTTGCCTCACGGCATGACTAATCTGACAATGTGGGCAAAACACAGAGACGAGAGATAGGAGTCAAACAACTCGCAAGAGCACCTTTGGCATTTACACTACAAGAGAGCAGGAGAGACAACGCGCCGCTTCAACACTCTCTAATGGCGTGAGAAAAAAAAACAGTCCCCCAGAATAAACCCCTCATCCTGGGTTAATATATATATTGTAAAATGCTTCATTTCCTAATGTGACAGGTATTCAACAGTGTTAGATTCACGCTTTGGCTTCGCAAATACAGATTTTCATGATACAAACTTAATAGATTTAAATGATTAATTAAAGTTAAATTAAATTGGAAGTGTGAATCAAACTGTTTTCCTGAACTAAAGAAAAGATCAGAGAAAAGCTGAGGGATGCAATTGGCCTTTAACAAAACTAATTAATCAAGACAATTAAGAATAGAATAAATAAAATGTGCATGGAAAGTAACATCTCATTTGAATGTGTTTCAGTTCATTAATGTGCCATATCTATTCGGAGTAAAAGGAAACTCAGGCACCTCCAGATAACCGGTTGACTTTTAATGAGTGGGTGTGACCCTGGCTACAATAAAGCATCTCAATCACAATCAATCCTTTTGATTTCCTCATTGAAATGTTTGAACACTGGATCTTTTTAGATGTCTGCACCAAACATGATGAACTCTGCTACCTGCAGCAGTATGTTATGAAACCTACTCAGTCATGATGAGAGGACACTGGGTGAAGGGGAAACAAAGAGAAGTGAAATTTGTTCCAGCTCGTCTGTAACAAAAACACTGAGGTATGGGAACTGCACCACAGTCAGATTCAACAATCATGTTTTTTTTTTTATGCCCAAGTACCTTAACACCAGCTTTGCGTTCTCTCAAAAAAAACTGCAGTGCAGGAAATAAAGATTTATAAGAGAATGCAAAAATAGAAAGTTCAACGAATGTACCCAAACTTAAAATATGGACCATATATATTACAGAAACTGGTCAGATTGTTCACTATAGATACAGGATGTGGAAGAGGGGGTGCAACAGTGCATGGAAGTGGAAATGATGCTGAGTTTTACTGAACCACAGGATTTAACCTTAAAATAGCAGCTTTAGAAGAAGTTTGGTTCACTGACTTGGAATGGGGAGAATGTTTCCCCCCCACTCCTCACTCTGAATGTCTGTTATTGCTCTCGGTAACTTTAGCCGGCAGGTACGATCTCCTGTCACAAGTGATGATTGACAGAGGGTCCAGCAAGTTGAAGAGCAAAACTAAACTGTAGATCAGTTTAAAAGTTAAGTCATTAAAAGCTTGGGGGATTTGTTACAGTGGCAGTTCTTCTGGTTTGGGAAGCAGGGGATCATGGGTAATATCCATGACTACGCAGTCAGAGCTCCAGTTAACACATTGATAGATCTTGTGTGAAACCCACAGGTGGCTGCAGAGGGCGCTGTTGCTCAGCAAACATTCCGTAGTGTTGCTTTAACTCAACTAGACGTGTGTTAAATGCTACAGTTCCTTTGGGAGAAAGAAATATCAACACACGCACGGGGGATGAGACCGTGGAGCCCAGGGAGCCAAACACTGACCACTGAGGCTGAAATGAGCAAACAAAGACAAACAAGCATCTTCTCCGCAGCCATCTGACAACAGAGTCCATACAGAGCAGTTAAATTCCCTTATGACCGCAGACATTTCCTCTGAACTCATTAGGATATAGAGAGAACTTCAGTAAAGTACAGTGGAGTATTTGACGGAGTGAGTTTTCACTGTGTCTTATATAATTAAAAGTCAAAATAAAAGGATAATATGCTTGTGCTGTTCTTTTAATCCAGTGGATTTTATAATTATCCTACTAATATAAAGAAATCTCTCTCAGTGCTTTGATTTTCTCAACAATCACTCATCTGATCGACTTCAGACTCAGCAGGCGTGTCACCGAGGACCCGAGTAAGTGAATTGTCGACTGACTTGAGTGTACGAGCGGTTGTTGAGAATTTAAGCCCCAATCTGAGCACAGAGAGTCAGCGTCATTAGGACTATTTGGTTGTTTTGGAAAGATCAGAGCCGTCACTTGACTCCTGCTGAGAGCTGACTGAGCAGCACAGGTGTGGTTGGCAAAACAAACACAACCTCTCCCTTTCTCCGTGTCCACGTCTTACCTGCCGACTCCAGCAGGACGTGGTAATCTGTTCCTCTCTGGGTGGGCGTGTCATCGTCAGGTTCCTGTTTCTCAGACGCCTCGTATCGATCCCAGTTTGACTCCAGTTTCCTCCTGGAGAAAACCTCCCGCCTGTTATTGTCCTCCTCGAAGTTGACTCCTTCATCTTGACCCTGAAGGAGAACATAGGAGGACACACCATGAGCGACATGAGACTTTATATTAAGACGGACAATATATCTCCACTTCCTCGTCCCAACCCTGAACCAATCAATTAGCATCTGGGGGTAACAGCCAGACTTTTAGGGCAAAATCTTGTCCTGCGTCTACAGATTCTGCAAATTCACATACAGAATCTGTTTGTAGAGATTGGCCATCTACTAACATGGAGGAGACGGGGTTTATGACCTATATTCAGCCAGCCACCAGGGGGCAATCAAGACACAATTGGGGAGCTGTCATTCTCATTCAGGAAATATTGATTGTTTATATTGTTATTTATGCATCTGGTAAACACAGTGAACAGGTTTACTGAGAGTAAAAAGTTTAAACTGACAAGTAACATACAGTAATAACTCGATGCTGGATACTGACTGATCATGCTGCCTCCTGCAGGTTGACTTTACAACCCCACCCGGACTGTCATTGTCTGCCTCCATGCTCTGGGTGACCCTCAGTCTAACTGGGAGTTTCAATTAGTCAAAAGGTTCATTTAACACATTTGGAAGCGGTAAAATGTTTTGCTTCCTCAATTTTCTGTTTGAAATATAATGTTGTGTTCGGAGAAAGGGAGGAGAAGGTTTTCATAATTCAAAAATCCTTTTCACACACTCTGAAACACTACTTTGACTAAAGGTCTAACCAAAGGGTCAAGGTAAAAGGCATGTTATGGCAAAGAATGGACAGTGGAGCCAACACTGAACTCGTTAAACTCGTCTGCGTCACAGATTTCATCCCGTTTTGTAAGATAACTGCACAAACCTTTTAATTAGGTTGTCATGGAAACATGCAACACAAGTTGTGCCACTCTGACAAAGCTGCGGTTTTATTCTCTCTGGTTTTTTTTAAGTGGTGCCCTGTCAAAGCTCAAGAAGATAAAAACATGCTCCACAATACCATCAAAGACCACATGGTAGCTATGGATGCACCAAAGGAGATTTTTATGATTGCAATCAAGGAGCCCCTACGAACCCAATGAAATGTTTATGATTGCAATCACAGATCCCCTATTGTTTCCCCCCTCATTCTGTAGTGAGCATCGCAGGTGCATCTACCGACTGAACAGCCCCACGGAAATTAAGACGAACCCTCTAGCGTCATATCCGAGGCCCAGTTTGTACATTGACAGTGTTTGAGTGCTGTAGAAGATCATAACGGTGGTGATGAGACTCAAGGAAGGTTTTCAATCTGAGCAATCTAACCCTACACGTAATGATGGAAGTTCGTTATGTGCGTAATGTATGTGAGGGAGATGATGAGGACATTAAGCCCACTTCACCCAGGTAACAACAGCGTGTTATCCTGCACACATGTTGTACACAGGCTACTATACATAACTTCTTTATAAATTAAAAAAGTGAAATAAGACTATCGTATTAAACATTCTCATGCGTCTATGGAGACTTGAATGTGTAATTAAAACATGCACCAGTGTATCTAACTTTATTCATATTAATAACTGTGAGGGGTTCCCTTTATTAGCTCCAGCACCTGCCCCCAAAACATGTCTGTGCACGGCCCTGTGCAGTCTCTGGTCATGAAGTTTGTTTTCATGTTTGTTGTATAAAGTTTATGGCAGCAGTCTGAACCAACCCTGTCCTCTTCACACCACATTTCATCACATGTCATCACATTTCATTTGGCTGACGTCTTTATCCAGAGCGACTTACAAGAAGTAAATACTGTGAAGTATTTGGTGAAAATGAGCTTTAACACCGGCTGAGAGTTAAACTAAACCGAGCCGAATGGAAGAGGAGGATCTGATTAGTTTAAAATCATAGTCCGATCATTTCAGCGAGTTCACGTTGAGGCGAGTTGTTAAATTCACTATATTTTTCAAAGCGGTTTGGTTCAGCGGGATAACTGATGTGTACCCCAACTTCTCTCACCCGGTCCTGGGACTCCGCTGCGTGGCCGCCTCCCCCGCGTCCAGCACCGCGGTAGTAGTCTCTTTTGCCCCGGCCACGGTGGTATCCTCCCCGGCCTCTGCCCCGGTGTTCACCGGCAGCACTGTCACCGTCGTGTCCGCCCCGGACGCCTCTTCTCCAGCCGCCTCCCCGGCCTCCCCGGCCTCTGCTCACTCTTCCCTCCATTGCTGCGACCGGATACTTTAGCATGTGACATCACGTAGCGGTGTTGTGGGCTGGGTGTTACATCGAATGGCGTCCTACGATAAAATGTCACTTTCATTGGTTCCGGGACCAAACTTAATTATATATTATCTATTATATTAAATATACTATATGATATATTTAATTATATATTACTGCTTTCATGTGTTCAAGTTTTCATGTACTACAGCTCTATATTTATTGAGTTAATGAAAGATTTTTTTTAATTTTAACAATGTATATTATTAGTGTTTAAACACAACAATTCAGTGTATTTGTAAGTTCTGGAGTAAGACTATTTTGTCAGAAGCTTAAAATGCAAATAAATGTAAAGTTGTGGATCACAAATATGTGTTCAATTCACATTTAAATAAACTGGTAAACTCTACAATAGTAATATCAGTGAAGTGTATGTGAATGAGTGAAGGTTTATCCTGACATAATAATAAAATTAGAGGGTAATAATAATTGTGTGCAGTTGTGTCTCATTACTGTTTAACTTGTTCATTTCAGGAAAACTGAATTCTACACGGAGGCACACACAGAAAGCGCAGCACCATGGAGAACAGCACCTTTGGCAACACATCACACGTCCAGACTGCTTCTCACAGCCTTTGGGAGGTTATTGCCATCGCCACGGTGTCGGCCATCGTTAGCTTGATCACTGTAGTTGGTAACGTGCTGGTGTTGCTGTCGTTCAAAGTGAACAGTCAGCTGAAGACAGTGAACAACTACTACCTCCTGAGTTTGGCGTTCGCTGACCTCATCATCGGCGTGCTGTCCATGAACTTGTACACCACATATATCCTGATGGGTTACTGGTCCTTGGGGAACCTGGCATGTGACCTCTGGCTTGCAGTGGATTATGTGGCCAGCAACGCTTCGGTCATGAACTTGCTCGTCATCAGCTTCGACAGGTACTTCTCCATCACGAGGCCGCTGACGTACAGGGCAAAGAGGACTCCAAAGAGAGCTGCTATCATGATCGGACTGGCATGGCTGGTGTCTTTTGTCCTCTGGGCGCCGCCCATCTTGTGCTGGCAGTACTTTGTGGGAGAGAGAAAAGTGGCACAGCAGCAGTGTCAGATCCAGTTTTTGACCGAGCCTGTGATCACATTTGGAACCGCCATCGCTGCTTTCTACATCCCCGTCTCTGTTATGACCATCCTGTACTGCAGGATCTACAAGGAGACGCAGAGACGCACCAAAGATCTGGCAGAGCTGCAAGGCCTCGCGACAGAAAATATTCCAGAAGGAACTAAACCACAGAAAACTCTTATTCACTCCTGCTTTCATTTCACCAGAGAGAGGAGAGACCGGAGTCAGGCCTCCTGGTCTTCATCTAACCAAAGTAACGCCACCAAGACGACCACCAGGTCGGACGAGGCGTGGGCCAAAGCAGACCAGATCACTTCCTTTAACAGCTACACCTCATCTGAGGAGGAGGAGCATCACGTTTCATTGGAAACTCCACAGGGGTCTTTCAAAGAGCAAAGCAGTGGGCAAAGTAATAAGAATGGGCAAGTGACTGATTATGCAGAAGATCAGTATTTTTCCTCTCCTCAAAAGAAGACCAGCAAAAAGTGCATCGCTTATAAATTCAAACCTGGTTCAAAGGATAAAAAGAGCAGTCCCACACCCGCAACACCCTGCCCGCTGGAAACAGAGCAGCCCGCCAAAAACGCCTCCCCCTCCTCCTCCTCCACCACCTCCAAACCCATGGACCCCGTCCTGAAGAGCCAGATCACCAAGAGGAAGAGGATGGTGCTGGTGAAGGAGAAAAAAGCCGCCCAGACTCTCAGCGCCATCCTCCTGGCCTTCATCCTCACATGGACGCCGTACAACATCATGGTGCTCATCTCCACCTTCTGCACCGAGTGCATCCCCATGTCCCTGTGGCACCTGGGCTACTGGCTGTGCTACGTCAACAGCACCATCAACCCCATGTGCTACGCCCTGTGCAACAAAACCTTCCAGAAGACCTTCCGCATGCTGCTGCTCTGCCAGTGGAGGAGGAGGAGGAGAGGCGAGGACAAGCTGTACTGGTGCGGACAAAACCCAAACGTCAACAATAAGATGACTTGATGTGGCGCAGCAGCGTTGTCACAGACTTTTGCCTCCATGTGGAGTTTCTCGATATATACTGTAGTTGGTGGTTGATCTTCAGCATGAAGTGCTGCATGTGATTTTTGTGTTAGAAGTACATATTGGTGGAAAATGTGCTGAGCCTGACGCAGCACGTAAAACTGCTGCTACAGATTATTACAGAATAAAAAAACCTAATGAAGGTGGTCACACATTCTTACAATGGTTCGGTTTGAAGAACATGTTCAGATATTTTCAAGACTATTTGTTTCCATCATCAAGTATGTTTACAAAAACTTTTAAAAAAGTAAGAACAATGTGTGGATTTAAAAAAAAGTATATATATTTGGTTCTGCTGCATCTATTTTGATCCATATTCTTAATTTGAAGAGTCTAACAATTTGAGGGGAGTACAAAGTTAAATGTGTGTACTCCATCAATACATAAACTCTTCATACAGGCCGGGCAGCGAGCCTGTTGTCTTCAGTGTTAAAGATCTTAAGTCCGTGTGCTGTGCGATTTCTCTGATGTGCAGATAGTGACAAAGCATGACAAGCACAAAAGAACTTAACACCTATAAAATATATCTCAACATTAAACACACAGTATTCACACTATCATGAAATGGGAAGTAAAGTCAAATGTCCACAACCTCCTTCCTTAATTATATTAGTACAACTTAACTTAATCACAGATATTAAATAAGTTTTCTGAACACTTTATTCTTTGAGTCTTTTCATTCCCTTAAGTTGCTGTTGAATCCATTTGCTTTCTGATATAATCAATAAATAGACCCATTCTTAATAAATTCACAAATTGAGTACAATATCCAGCCTGTACATGTATTTAAAGTATGTACAACAACATATATATATACATGTATGTTGTTTACAAGTCTCTGAACATGTTCTTTAAACCTCACCTGATCCTTGTCTATTCCAATGCTCACTTGCACTGTATATAAAGGACATCATGTAGGCGTACACATTTAAAACAATATAAAGAACACGTTTCACTGATTCTGTTCACAAATGGTAGATGTAAATTGATTAGTTTATATAGAGTATTTATATATAAATATATAAGTGGTCAAGTGAATATTTTTCCTTTCTTTGCTCTTGCTGTCGATGTTTGATCTGGTGTTCAAGGGCTAATCTGTGCACTTGCTGCATTAGTTTCACAGTGTGGTAATATGACGTGTGAGCGTGTCCATGGATCACACCTCTTCCCTCGTCGATATTCACGTTGCTGTTTAAAAAAAAAAAGGTATTTGAAGCTCGACCACCACCGCGTCTCTCCGATGGATGAGTGATGCTGTTGTAAATTAATGCACTTCTCTGTTGTTTATGATGTGACGTCAGATGTATCTAACCCTGTGCCTTTTGTTCTGCTCAGAGGCAAAAGTGCTTCGTGGATGAATCCGTGCTCCTCGTTCGTCTGTGAAACGTTGTGAAAGTGAGTCTGTGTGTACTGATGTGAACTACGAAACACAATTTACAAAGGCAGAGTTATAATTCTGCTTTTTTTTTTTTTTTTAAGCGTCAAACATGTTGAATCTGATCTGGACTTTGTACTTTGAAATTCATCATCCAAAAAACTAACAGGCCAAAGGAGGAAACATGCACATGGCATGACTGTTGCCAAGAAAAGTACAGATCTGTAATTGCCTCTCTAATATTAAAGACGGATAAGGAGACATCATATACGTCGTATTTCTGAATTTCTTTGCTTGTGATTCCTTGGCCCAGTTTATATATTTGAAGGATTTTAGGAGAATTGAGGCCAAACTGTGGATTATTTAAAAATAATAATACTGGCTTCTTCCTCAACTTTCTACCAGCTACACAGATACATTCACAGATCGACAAGTTAAAGGGTCAACAAGAAAGTGCAGTTGGGAAATACCAAACTAAATTTTGAAAAGTGTCACCTTAAAATAATTTGTCTACCAGTGAAGTCAAGCTAATTTCTTAAAACTTTAAAAAGGTCACACTGAGTATGTCACTTATCACAACCTGAAAAATAAAAGATTTATCATTTATTTTGATTTCATTAAAAGAACCTGTCAAAATAACGTCCGGTTTTGTTTAACACGCTCAAATCTAAATCGGCTCCTCTCGCTTTGAGCTACTTTCAATCGCCTTAGATGGATTTGTTCAGTTGTCATGGAGATCAGCTGTTATAATTTTGTCAATAGCACCTGAAGCTTGTCGGGTAAAAATCCACTGCAGTGAAAAACATAAAAACTACCACGCTTGTCCTAAGTCAAAAGATCCATCACCATGACAACTGATGCGGAAAAGGCTCATAAGTTGCCCTTGAGCTGCAAAGATGAAAAGTCATTCATCGTTATTGTCTGTCGGCAACGGATAATGAGGTGAAAACATAACAGACACAGTTTATTGTGACTTTAATGTGGTCTTTACCGTCAGGTTTATTGAAAGTCAAGTGCACTCAAGATCTTGAAGGCGAACACAGCTCTTCTCACTCTTTCACCTGCTAGTAAACATCATTTCAATTCTACACCTAAAGGCACGTATCGTACCGTACGTGAATTTTTACTCTTCACTCAATAATTCAGAAAAAATGAGAAGGCCGTGTGATCACTTCCAAACAAACAAGACGGTCAGAAATAAAAACAAAGCTGTTATATAACCATTGCAATTTTATTTTCTAGGCTTTTTAAATAAGATTTTCTCAGTCTTAAAATTCAATTCATCTTCATTCACAGTCGTATTACTGAAGAAAACAAAAAAAGAATAACAAGGAAATCTCTGAGTATGTATATATATGTTCTCTTTCACTTAGTGGAATTAGCAGCTGTGGGAAAATGCACACCAGAGGGTTAGCACACAAAAGATGGAAGAGTGATAGAGCCACTTGAAAGTAAAGAGCAAATGAAGATTTACAGATTTTAAGAAATTTCTCAGTGCCGTTTGAAAAAAGAAAACTTTTTTTTTTTTTTTGCTCAGTTTCCAATAGAATAAAAGAAATGAACATCTATTAATAAAGAAAACTGTACAATAGACCCAGACGGGGAAGTGACACTTAAAAATCTTGCTTCTTTAGGCTGATTTGAGGAGACGTGTACGGTACAGTACTACCTCCTCTTGACAGCCGGCCTCGTGCCCTTGCTGCTGCTGCTTGCCTTGCTGGAGCCCTTGGAGCCGGAGAAAAGCTTGGTCATGAGCTCTGAGACGTCTGGAAGCTCAGGGTTAGGGTTCAGCATGTTCATGGACTGCTCCATTTCCTGTGAAGAAAATAAACATCACATTTAACTCTTCCACGTAAAAGTGGACACAAAGTTAATGCAAGGATTCCTTTGACTCCCGACATTTAAATCCACCACACAATGAACTGAAATAACACTTTACCTTTCTCATCTCTGGGTCGTTGGTGTTGACCACTTTGGGCAGCAAAACAATGATCAGCAGGGGCAGAACCATCATCATAACCTGCAGGAGCAGCAAGTACAATACATTTCAATATAAACGAGGGATTCAGACGTACTGTAGTTAATGTATATTCAACACTAGCATGTATATGATCTGGATTCTGACATGTAGGAAGCTCCTCTCACTGTCAAAACATCCAGTTAAATAAGGATGAGCGTGTCTGTGGAGGAGGATCAGGTGTGGTTGTCTTGTTTAGACCTTCTCTTCTTTACCAGAGTGTAACAGGCCACATACTTAATAAGAAAATAATAAGAAATACTAATTAGCGTTTTGCCCCAGAAGAAAACTCTTCTCTAACACTCCACAGGAAACATCTTGGATGATTATATCACCGGAGTGTTTGGTTATTCAGCACAGGGGACAAAAGAAAACCCTCAAGGTGAGACTGTGCGTCATTAAGTTTACAGGAAGTAGATGACAAGAATTATTATTCAATGTTTTAATTAAACCTGCATTTCCTGGTGCAATGACGCTGGACTTCCACAAACATAAACTAATATTAACTGTTGCCCTTTATAAAAACACACAACATCTCCTTTCACCACTGATGCATATGAACACAGCAGAGTGTAAATATCCAGCCTCTTATTACAACTCCATCAATGTTTTTACCATCGGGTTCATGAGGAAGTCTGTCCAGCCCCAGGTCTCCCTCTTCATGAAGTAGCTGTGAGGGCCGCTGGCTCTGATTTGGAGAGGATACGGCTGCCGAATGACTTCTGACGTCTTGATGTAGTTCACAAGACGTGCTCTGTGGAACGACACATAGATATACAAGTGGATCCGAGTTGCTTTACCCACAGTACACTGATAAAATACATGAGGCTGACTCGAAATTAAACATCGGTGGCGTCTCCCGACATTAAGGTCTCACCTCATTTTGCCCTTGGATGTGATATCCACACGCACTGGTTCAAATCTAAAAGTCGGGGTGACGATTTCCACGACGTACGATCCTGAAGGGACGTCATTCACTGCAAAACTTCCATCGTTTCTGCAACAAGACGATTTACACAGTTTTATTCTCCAGACCGGTCAGTGCACAGTTAGTCAAAGTGAGTCAAGAATAAGTTCACAGCAGCGAGCAGAAGAAGTATGTCCTCATGGAGGAATACAAGTATTCTAAGTATACTGTGACTGACGTGAAGTAACTGATTATTTTATATTAACATCAGGAGCGGGGCCTCTCTACGGAGGCCGCCATGTTTTCTACAGGAGCCCAGACTGGACAAACTACACACCTTTTGAGGTGAGAGGAGTATCCAGCTGCAGCATGCAACTCCACCACTAGATGTCACTACATTCTACACACTGAACCTTTAACAAGAAAACCTGAACAGTGAAACCATCATGAAGAAGATTCACAGGAGGACTTTTATATCAGAGCACATCAGATGATGTGACATCCCCTGTTTGTGTTTACATCTGTTTTAAATGTACTTCCTATATATCTATCTCACTGAGGGAGCAAGAATGATGGTGTGAGAGGTTCATCTGTAGTTCACATGATGTGGAACAACACACACACACACACACACACACACACACACGTCTCCTGTGGCCCAGGTTTGTTTTGGTGACACCTAGCATGAGACTCCTGAGCTGCTGCAGCTAACGAACACACGTCCACGTCCTTGTCCCGGTTGGCACGAGTTGCTCCCGCTGTAATGAAGCTGTGGACTAGTTGGGCCAGTGTGTAGCTGCCATCTGCCAACAACACTATCAGGCTAACGCTGGCTATGCTAATGCTACCTAGCCTCGCTAACAGGCTAGCTAGCTAGCTAGTTAGCTTGCGTCGCCACGGGAGGAGGAGGGGGGGGGGGGCTGCGCTGCTTCCTACCTCAAAAACCCGACGTACTCCTCTCCCTCCACCAGGACCCGGGCCGTGGACACCCAGTCCTGGGACTTCACCCCGGGGACGATGGCCCTGCCCTCGATCTTGAAGCCGTTCTCTCCGTTCGGCTGCGTCGCGACACCTGCGCTGCCAGGCCCCACTTCCATGTCAGAGAAGCACCACGTCGCCACGACCGCGGCCTGGAGGAGAAGCCACAGCAGCGGGGTCCTCTGCCCGGGGAACATGTCGTCTCTGGAGGAGGAGGAGAAGAAGAAAACCCGATCCGAGTGAACGAGAAGAACCAGGAGCAGAACCAGGAGCAGGATCTGAGGAGAGACAGCTGAGGAGTCACTGCATCAGCTGGTGCTGCACGGTGACGTCACAGGAGGCAGAGGAGCGAAGGGGGGGAAAAAAACTTTATTGAACAAAAAACACGATGACAATATCTTTCTGACGTCTGCAGTGGTTTGTTTTTTAATTGATTTAAAGTTGAACCATGAAAATAAAGTTAGATATGAAAACGTGTCGTGTTGTATTATCCCAACAATAAGTCTTTATAACTGCACCTTGGAATTTATCCTCTTTGGATTCAAATCAACAAGTGTCAGAGAACCTCCAGTCAACACCTTTTCAGGATAAATGCTCACTGTTATAGTCAAAAAGCTCTTTGGATCTGGAAAACCCTGTGGATTAGACGGTTGGAATCCCAAAGCCGGGAACAGGCCTCAAATGAACCGAGGAAAACCAAAGCAAACAGAGCCCGAAGCTGCCGCAGGCCTTTGCACTTTAAAAGGTCAAAGGTATACTTGGACAAAGAGCTCCAGGAGCCCAACATTTGATTCATTGGTTAGATTGTATTTTTGTTTGAATTATGGATTGTCTTTGAATCAAACGGTGATATTTTGTTGGAAAGGATACCTGGATTTTTGTGAAGATGGTGGATCAATGTTGTCCTCAACCAAATTGTACTATTGTAAACTCAAGATCCGTGGATTCAAAATTCAATGACAATGCAGCAACCACTGATGTTATCCCCACTTCTCCCAAACAGAGGCATAGTGTGTCACCTGTACAACATAACCCATTCTGTCTGACAAGATCACAGCATGGTCACTTTACATGTATTATCAATGTAAAGACTATAACTGTAATTTAATGGCTTCTAGTCACAATGACGAGAACAAAATGTAAGAATTTTTAGATCCTGTTCATGAATGTAACTACAGTCGGTGCTTTCTGACATTGTGACCTGTACATACTGCTAAACAAGTAGATTGTGTATTTTATACTTAAACAAATTCTTTGTGCTTAAAGAAAATTCACCTCGGTCAATAAAGTTGATGAAAAGAAAATTTCAATAACTGCCAACACGAGAACCTGCCTAACTTGTTCAGCCACTTTCAAAGACCAAAGCAATTATATATGTTTACTTTAATGGCTTCTGTTTTTCCATGTGGGCTTTTACACAATTTAAAAAAGAATAATTGCCGCGATATCTACTCTGCTTGAACCTCTCTCGACAGACTGAATTTCATCTCCAAAATAATACTTCGTCATTTCACATTTCACATTTCAACAACACAATAAAAACAAAAGGTTTAATAGTTTTGATTTTTATCAAATTTATTTAAAAGAAGATTAAAAGAATCATTTGTTTTTACAGTTTACAATACACAGTCAAATGTCATAGGAAGAGGCAAAATGAAAACGAGCTCTAATAACTTAAGACTGTAGCAGATTCAAGTTCCTGATTCCGGAGAACCCAGGCTCAAAACAACAAGAGCGGTGCATTACATCCACAAGTGCATTTGCATTCCATGGCAAAGAGTGGTGTAGTGAGAGACAAAGAGCTTGGCACTTCATAGAGCGACGTAACACCGGGTCTCATTAAGGTCCACTAAACATGCCCCTTCACAAGACGATCCACTTCAATGTGAAGCAGTCATTTTACGTTTCTCTCTTTTTGCAGAACGGCTCTCAGAGCCCTCCTTAAGAATCTCCAGCTCTCACCGAGGGAGTCATCTGAATGATCAAGTTCAGTCCCAGTAAGAGGTTTGAGTTGACGTGGCAGAATGAACCAGTCCTTTTCTCTGGCGTCGCTATCAGTTTGAAACACAGCCATGATCCGGCAGTAGTGGTCACATCCTCAGAGCGCTGCACTGACGAGTGTCAGGGCAGCTGTGACAGATACGCCTCGATGGCCTGCAACGTGGAGATAATACGTTAGTTGTTGTCACATCCAGAGAGACATCCTGCGGCTGGATGTATTCAAATAATCTTTCTTTATACATATTATAAACACAGGGGATAAATCAGAGGGCCATCAAAGCACATTTTCCAAGATTATTCCAAAATACACAAGATAATAAATCACTTTGAACATCTGATGTACAAGTTATAATAATAATAAAACTGAGTGACTTTTTCGTTTATTTCATGAAATGCCTCGGTGGTAATCATTAATTAATGAACATTCTCTGGAGGTTTTATTCATTTCAAAATCAAACAGGATGTGAAGATGGGAACGCAATACACCCTCAACTCCTGGTGACTCATGGTGAGTTTTTTTTTTAAGGTGGGAGTGGTTGGTTGCGTCCACCAAAATAAACAGAGAGCCGAAAAACAAACAGCAGAAGCACCTGCATAGTAAAACAGCTCAGTGATACATCTGGGTCACAATGATCATTTTACATTTGTCAGTCTGTTGCACCTTCTCCAGTAAATACTCCAGTTAAAGCTCAACCCTTCGTATCTAAACAACTGCTCAACACCACCTTAACATGTTTCTGTAACAAATCTTTCACAACTTCTGCATCGTGACACATTCCCTGTTAAGTTCTACAATATTAATCTTGTTCACCTTTGCCAGCTCTCCTGTTGATCCTGGAACCAAACATAGTCGGGCTCCGTCCTTCCACAAGTCCTTCAGCCGCTGCTTCATGACGTCAATATTCCTGCAGTAAACATGCAAACATTAACTGTGCAGCATGGGGGGG